TTAATCCTCATCTTTCCTTGTGCATCTATAGAGCTGAACGGTGACATGTCATTTTGTAAAATTAAAAAATTCCTTTGAAGCAAAGAAAGACCAAATAACATGCATTTCGGTTTTGCTTTATATTCATTTTAATACGTTCAGATTCTGTAGGGAAAAGAAGTAACTGATTATGTATATACAGTATTTGGTACTCATCTAAGAAACTGATTATTCAATTAACTAGGGAACCAAATCCTCAGGTTCTCTGGTTATTTGGGAGTTCACTGTCTGACATAAACTGTAAGTGATAAAAAGATTACCTATTAAAACACCCCTTAGAAGTTCTTCTGTCTGTACATTTATTTCTGATCATCCAATATGTATCAGTTTGTCCAGTAAAGTACTTGGGTTTCCTCTGGCACATGATCTATATATATGGCTAAAACAACATATTTTCAACATGTAATCCATGTTTACAGAGAGCCAAGCTAATATGTGAGGTATCAGGTAAGGAATAAGATAGTACTTATTTGATTGTTAATCAAAAAAGCACTTATTTACTTATTAAAAATGAATTAAGAGTTCTGTGCTCCTCCCATAAAGAAATGACTGGGAAAGAATTTAATACAGAAAACCTCTTTAGCAAGTAGTTGGGATAACATAAACTTTCCCAGGTAGAATAAGAATTTGATATATTATATAGAAAGGAAGAAAAAATAGCATTTTTGTACTGTGTTTAAAAATGTATTTTTCAGGGAGTTTTAAAACTGGCTGGCCTCCTAGTTATCATATATTCTAACCTTCTGAGTTTACAGTTGAGGAAATTAGAGATTATGACTTTCCAAGGTTACAACGCTTGTTGGTAGAAGACTCAGAATTAGAACCCAGGTCTCCTAACTCCCAGGAAGTGCTTAAAATGGCACAATAAACATGTAAATATTTGTATTTACTTCAAGATGGGGGAGGAGAGATGCCAAATAAATATTTCCATATCATACACAATTATAAAAAGCCTAGTCACATTTTTTATTTCAGTATATGCATGTGTGTTGCATGTTCAGTTTTCAACAGTGACACAGACAAGAAATTAATTTTGTTAAATAATTATTCATCTTATTTTTAAACTAATATATATTGAGCACCAATTATAGAATAAACCAAAGAAGTCCTTGCCCTCGTGAAGTGTACACTCAGGTGGGGCAGATGAACATGAAACAAATCAGCAATACAAAGTGTAATATAGTACTGTGAAGAAAACAAAGAAAGGGAAGTGACAGAGAAAAACAGAAAGGGACTGCCTTAGTAGAGAGGACAGGAAAAGCCACATTGAAAGATGAGAGGAAGTCAGCCACTTAAGGACGGAGGGAAAGCTATTCCAGATAGAGGGAACAGCATGTGCAAAGGCCCTGAAGTGGAAAAGTGCTGCAATTTCAAGAATATAAAGAAAAATAAATCCAATGTGGTTGAATCACAGTAAGTGAGGAAAAGAGGGGCTTAAGACGAGGATGGGGAAACAGTAGGGGGGGCCAACTCCAGTAGAGCTATAAGAAACCTATAGAGTTGGACCTTATTCTATATACAATGGGGAAGCCGTGGAAGTGATTTATATCTGTATGTGACATAATCTGATTTTTAAAGAATAAGCCTGGCTACTCTACAGAAAATGAATTTATAATAATAGTAGAGATGGAAATAAGTGGATGGATTACTTATATATTTTATAGGTAGAAATGACAGAGCTTGTTATTAGATGTGGGTTGCAAAGGAAAAGAAGAATCAAAGATGACTTTAAGTTGGGGGCTAGTACAGCTAGATGCATAGTGGTAACATTTTCTATATTGGTTAAGAAAGCCTGAAGGCATTTTCCCAGAGAAATGACACAATCAGAGCTATGCTCTGGGGAATAAACCAGGCAGTAGGTAGACCTGTTATGAGCATAAGTACTAAGTATGAGCCTAATACAACAGTTAAATGGTCATATTGCTTGTTTGAAATATAATAGTGGTAGAGGAAATGAAAGTGAAAAATGCTTGACTTGGCAACTCATTGAATGTGGGAAGTAACAGGAAAAAAGCCAAAGATGGCTCATGTTTCAAGCTTGAATAACCGGGTAGAACCAAACAGGAACAGCATAGCTATGGAGAAAAGTGATGAGTTGAGTTAGAGACATATAGAACTTGAGGTGTCAACAGCTCATCCAGATGAAGACATCCCATGGGCAGGGGGACATAGGTCTGGAGTTGACAGTTGTCTACACTGAGGTGATAGATGAAACCATAAAAGTGGGTAAGATTTCTGAAGAAGACGGTATAAAGAATGAGAACAGTACCTAGAAAACGCTTACAGTTAAGAAGTAAAAGGAGGGGGCCGGCCCGTGGCTCACTTGGGAGAGTGTGGTGCTGACAACACCAAGGCCACGGGTTCGGATTCCTATACAGGGATGGCCGGTTGGCTCACTTGGGAGAACGTGGTGCTGACAACACCAAGTCGGGGGTAAGATCCCCTTACCAGTCATCTTTAAAAAAAAAAAAAAGAAGAAGTAAAAAAGAGGAAGGGAGGCCAGAGAAAGAGCAACCAGATAGAGAGGAGGAGGAAAACCAGGAGAGTGAAGGGTCATGAGAGCAAAGAACAGAGTTTCGAGAAGGAGGTTGACAGTGTTAGATGTTGCGAACAGGTCAAAGAGAATGCTGGCAAAGTAAACCTCTCTAGATGTGGCAAAAAGGACAACACTTGGCTACCTAGGAAAAAGGAGTTTGGGGCTTGAGGGTGTGGAGAAGTCATATTGCAAGTGATCTGACAGTCAAGTGAGGAATAAAGTTCTCTCGCTTGAAGGAGTCACAAGATAGAAAGAGGGTTTTTTAGAACAGGATAATAGAACCCTAGCTAGAGAAGCAGTCACTAGAGTGTTTGAAATAGAAATAGTACAAATATGGAAGATGAAAAAGATGAAAGAAGAAAAACATCAGGAACACAGAGTGGGAAGTTAGCCTGGGAAAGAGAAAACAGCGGGTGATGGTAGAGAGAATTATATACGAGCAAGGAGAAAAGATGAGGGCACTCATAGTAGATGTCCTGGTCTCTATCACCCAAGTAAGAAATGACGTTATATTCTGACTAGGAGACAGTCCCAGGAATGCCCAAAATACAGACGAATATGTTGGCTACTAAGTGGACCTCTAGGTATTCCTAAAAAATTTTGAACTGATTTAATTTTAAAAAACCATAATTCCTTATTGCAAACAAACAAAACAACTTAGTTTCAAAACCATGCATTTGACTACTCTCTATCTCATTATCTATGCTAATGATCATTTATCTAGAAATTGTGATAATCCAAGTAAAAGAAATTGGAAAATAAAAATTTAAATAATATTTTTCATGTACACTATCCTTAAACAAATGAATTATGAACAATATTTAAAAAGTATAAATTATGTAATGACAATTAGGGTAAAATAACATAGAAAAACAAAAATAGCCTATTTCCTCTCAGGCACAATTTCTTCCTTTCTGAATTTTATTAATACTTTCTTATGACATATATCACTTTATCACTTTCTACTTTATAACAGTTATTTGCTCATCTTTTAAGTAAAAATTGAATATAGCTGGATTTATATCTTGATAAATTGTTAAATGTCTATCCCACTTCTCTTTTATATTTTCACCGCCTCACTTCTCTACTGATTTTGCAGTGCCTGTTACAGCTATGTATAAACAACAATAAACAACAAGCAAAAGGAAAAGATACACCCACTATACAATTTATACTGTTTAGTGGATATTTAGGTTCAGCCTATAAATGAATATGTGAATGTGTTCCTATAAATAAATTAACTGAGATGGGAAAGAGGAGATGATATGGATTCTGGTTGATATTAAATATTTTTAAAAACTGCGCATTAATATAAATGACATAGTTTCTCCTCAGCCTCTAGCTTACAATAGATATTCAATAAAAGTTGGCTGGATGGATAAAAATATTATAGACATTTGGGGCCAGCCCGTGGATCACTCGGTAGAGTGCAGTGCTGATAACACCAAGGCCACGGGTTTGGATCCTATATAAGGATGGCCGGTTTGCTCACTGGCTGAGCGTGGTGCTGACAACACCAAGCCAAGGGTTGAGATCCCCTTACCGGACATCTTTTAAAAAAAAAATATTATAGACATTTAATAGAAATAATAAAATGAAAATTAAGATCCAAAAAAGGAGAAAGAAAACAGGCTAGGAATAAATTAAGAATTCTAATTTATAAAACCTCATCAGTAGTCCTCAGACCCAGATATAGATAAAAGTAATCTGGAAATTAGAATCGATGAGGGTTGGAATGAAGTCTGAGTTTCTTAAAAGTCTCACCACTGATTCTGCTGCATAGCTAGCACTAGGATTATCTCGTTTTAGTAAAAAGAGGAGGCTCATTTGATGAGGAAAAGCAAGGTAATGTCAACAGATGAAAACAAGACAACATATATTGCAAAAACATGGGTAAATGAGAAACAAACAAAAATGTTATACCATCCTTTGGTTATGTAATATCAAACCTTAAATGTTCGCTGAAAAACAAAAACTTATGGAGACACCTTGGAGAAAACTGACAATAGAGGGGAAAACTGACAATAGAGGGAGTCATTGTTTCCATGATGATATTCTGCATTTAATAGACGTTAAGGATTTGTGATAATTACAAAATACAGTACTTTAAAACAGCAGAAAACATAGTGCAGGTAAACAGAGCAATACAAGCTCAAGAATTCAGAACTCATCCAATTTTTCTTTAACTGTATTTAGAAAATATTCCAATGAGTCTACAGGGAATTACTTTCTGTAATCGGCTTCCTGACTAAAGAAAGCCTCTTTCAAGCCTGAGTTCAGCTGTCTATGACTAAGGGTTGAGGCATTTGAACAATTTTCTCCTCAGAGCACTCTGGGAATCCTGTGGTTTACTGTTAACTTTTCTACAAGCAGTTGGCTCTAAAACATTTTAATTCAAGGAGTACTTTAAAATGCCGGATGATACCTTTTTGTCAAAAGCTACATGCGCAGGAATAAAATCTGCAGGTGGGGCCTGCTTAGGTTGGCCATAAGTTAGAATTGGTGCCTTACTGGCCAACTCATCCAGCTCAGCCTGGGACAGCTGGTTGAACTGGAGCCGTTCCCCACCTATCCCGACTGTTGGACGCCGAGCAATTGCATAGCCATTCCTGTAGCCCAGCGTCTGGCTTCTATGGAAGGCTGTTTTCTGAAAAAGAAAAGAAATATATCATTAATAACATTATACAAATATTTGTTAGATAAAGCAGCTAACTTAAAAAAAAATCATAACAAACCTTTGCTAATAAACATCACGAAACTTACCTCAAAAAGTTTACTTACAATAAAAGGTTCTCTATTTTAAGCTAAAGCACTTGGGCAGGGACAAGGAGGGAAGTAGCCACATAAGTTTAAAATAAAATTTAAAGCCCTGCTCTGTAATACCCAATTTAACTACCAGTTCACCTTACATGAGAGACTAAAATAATGTTTCATCTATATCCTTAATTTTTCACTAGTCTTCCCATGTTTTTCATCTTATCTGATGATCATGAACCATGGAACCCTGAAGATCTGGTTCTGTTTTTTCATTTTCACCTGCAGTGAAAAGCCCTTCTTGTTACAGGGACACTACTATGTTCATACGACTCTTTGGAAAGCAACTGGATAGTATATATTTAAAGTTTTGAATATAATAACTCCACTCCTGATCATTTATTTTAAGGATATAATCCAAAATTACAGGAAAAAAACTATATGCCTGAAGCTGTCCATTACAATGTTAATTACAATCGTTAAATGTTGGAAACAATCTAAAAGACAAACGTGTAAGTTAATGATGGAAAACTCACTCAATAGACTATTGTGCAGCTATTAAAATATTGGTTTTAAAGACCAGGTGGTAACCTGGGGAAAATGTTTATGATTTAATAAACCCAAAAAAGCAACAAAAAATTATACATATACTATAATTACAAGCATGCAAACATGTGCATAAAAAGAGACTTTCTTGGCAAACAACATCCTCTGTCTGTATTATATGTTCCTAAATTACACTGATCTTTTACAATGAACACATTTATATTGGCAGTTGAAAAAAATAAAAGGTTAAATTAAAAAAAGAATAGATTAGAAAGACAAATTAGAGGTTATGTTAATTTGACAGTTTTCCTTTTTCTGTTCTTTGTAATGTGAGGTTATTTGCAAAATTTTATATATATAATATTTAATCATATATAATTATATATATAATTTAGGATTAATCATAAATATATTTTTATTTTAAAAAGACTACTTGCCTACATTCTAATTTTTTTGGAGCCCAGCCTACCATCTTTCAAGATCTGTGCACTGACATGAAAGGTGTGATAGATTAAACTTCTTTTGCTAAAAGAGTTACAAACTGTGGACTTTTTTTAAAGGATCATGTGCCCAGGGTCACAAGTCAGTTGGCAAGAACTGCTCCAGGTGTATAATACACATGACAGAACAAAATGAGCTGAGTAGACTTCCTCACTGGTAACCTGTGTAACTTCAAGCTCCTCTTCTTCCACCTCTAAGGAAAGAAGCAAGATCAGCGACTTCAGTTTGCTTTCCCTGTGTTGGACAGATGCCTCTACCATCACTCAGCTCTGACTCATGGGCACTCCAAGCAAGGCAACCTCAAGCCTCTGCACCCCTCTTATTCATCATGGTTCACCTTCGGAGTGCCTTTAGAGTTACACATACCTAGTCCTTCACAGCTGAAGACATAGTGACCATGTTTTTCAAATTCCAAATAAGGCAAATTAGTTGACCAGTTTATTTGGCCAGTAAATTTAAAATACGAAACATGTCCAATGCACAGTTCTTCTTAATTGTAGTATCGCAATATATGTCTTTAGAGCTTGGCACTTCCATCCACACCTCTGTAATACCCTAAATCAACTCACACCTGCCTCGTGAGTAACCCACATTCACCAACACCAAAAGTATAAGCTAATCCTGTACAGGTCTGGAAAGTGCTTATAACATTTTCTAAATATCATAAAACTAAAAAGTCCACTGAAACTAAAAATCTGATTCCATGTCTTAATGCAGAAATAATTAGGAAGAGATTCAGAATTCATATTGTTTTCACCAAACTCTCAATTTCAACTTAAATTCATTCTCCCCCCAAAAATAAATTGACTAAATATTTTATTTTAACTTTGTGAACATGGATGGAAACTTGGAGTTTAAATTACTAAGCTATACAAATATAAATTATTGTTGGCTCATCTACATAATCACTCTACTGAATCGCAATATCTGTTTTCCAGAACATATATTTCAGTAACTCTGTTAGAATTAAAACAAATACTAAATAATTGTAAGAATTAAGCTATGTCAGGAGGGAGAAAAAGAACCCAAGTTGCTGCTGCTGCAATTTTATCTAGAGAACGTGATTAAAACCACCTAAGGTTGAGGCAAGGAAGAAAATAAAATCTAAACAGTAATCTTTTACAAAAATGTTAGTGTGAAAAAGATGGGGTAGGGGAAGAGAAAACAGCAACTAATCAATTGTGGTTGAGGAAACTGGAATGGGATATCTCCTACAAAGCAGGGAAGGATGGTTTGGGAGAAAGATGGGCAAGTTTTGAAGACAAACCACAATGGAGAAAGAAAACAGGAATGGGGAGAGAGAGGGACTAGATTGTACAAAAGACAGAAGCTAGAGAGAAAAGGGTTGGGGTTAGATAGAAGCATAAACAAGAAGGGTGGAGACTGCGGAAAAGGATCCGGCAGAAAGAAGAGAATAAGTGGAAACGGCACACATACAAGACAGGAAATAGTGCTGGAAGTAGGAGAAATCACTGGATCGAGGATTCAGAAGAGGAAGGAGGTGGGGCGACAATGATGGGCCTGGGGAGAGTGGTAGGATGGGGCTATGGGAACGAAGATGAAGTGGAGACAGTCTATGGGGGGTAGAGCAGGGATCTGGGCAGGACAGGCTATGTTATAAGAGAATGAGCTAGAGAGAGGGCAGGGGGTTGGAGGAGCAGACCAGCAAGTAAGAATCCGGCTGGGGGTGAGAACAAAGAAGGAGCCAACAGACTGCTAAGATGGAGTAGAAAAACCAAAGACATTTGGAGCGGAGGGCAAAGGATGGGGGAGAGAGGATGAGGCTGGGTGGGAGAGGACGACAGAGCCTCGGCGGAGAAGAAACTGGGTCGGGGCAGAGGACAGGTTTGAAGGGGGAACAGACTTGGGTGGAGGAGAATAGAGGTGCACGAAGCGGCGAGCCCTAAGGGGCGGCCGGGAGGTGGGGACAGATGGGGGTTGGGCACATACGTCCTCACCGTGGAGTCCTTAAAGGACGTGCCCGGGAGAAAGGGCAGGCCGTGCACGGGGTTGGACACCATAGCAGTCGGTATCGCCGCCGCCACCCAGGTCCGGCTTGGTCCTCTCCGGTTGCCCTGGAGACGAGTCGCATTTGTTGGCCCAGCCAGGCTCCATGGTAACGCTAAACAACCCAAGTGCCCGCTAGTGGAGGGCGGGGCCTGAGGCGCAGGCTTCATAGGTCTGCGCTTGCGCCGCCCGCGGGACTCCGAGTTCTCGCGGTAAGGTGCCTGCGGCTGCGGGGCGCGGCTAGTGGGCGTTCCGGAGCTGGCTCCGCCCCTCCTGCTTCGCCCCCGTCCCCCCCACCCCCAGAAGATGAGACCTGAGAGCTGTGGGGCGGGGTCGGGGGACGTATTGGGATGCTGAAGCTTTCGCAGTGGCCGTGAGGTCCGGGCTCAGAGCAGGTCCTTAGATGGGTTGCAGAGGCAGGGACGTTCTTTTCTCTCCTCCACCCCAGTCCTCTCCAGTCTTACCTCACGCCGCCGGCGCTGTCAGTTCAGGCATTCTTTTACTCCGGCTCTGGGAAAAGGGCTCCAGTCCCAGTTCACACAGAAGTGTAAATGGTTGATCCGGATGAAAGTGTTATTTACCCCAGACCCATGCTTCTTGGGGGCAGGGGCTGGGTATTATTCATGATTGTATTTCTGTTGTTAGGGGATGGTCAGTGAACCAATTGCAGCCATCTCTTCCCTAATCCACCCACTGGCACATTATCTCTCCCCCCACGCCTTCAACTTTCTTTAGTCTACTGTCAATCCCTGCAGCTCAGCACCCTCCCCATTCTTGCAGGCCTGGCCTTAAGTATTTGCTGCAGGACAGGGTGCTCAATATTTGTTGACTGAAGATCTGGAGGTTGCTCATCTCAATCTCGGATTTATAGCTGCAGCTGCAATGAAAAGATTAGAACCACAAGGGGAAACGCAGCTCCTTCAAAGAGAAAGGCTAAGTCATGAGAAAGAAGTGAATAAGCTAAGTGAAATGAAATATTATCAGCATCCTAGGTGCTTTTTACATAACTTGCTTAAATTATTTTCCTTAAAAGATATATAATCCTATTCCTGAAACATTTTCAGGAAAAAAAGAAAGAAAGAAAGCTATCTATCAGTGCTGAGAAGCTTAAAAATAAAAAAAGTAAACAACCCCCAGTTGCCCGGAGATTTGGATTCATTAGGTCTGAAGCGTGGCCCAGGAATCTGATTTTTAGAACAAGTATTTCTGATGAGCCAGTTTAGGAACATAGTAGGCGTATCTCTGTGTTGTGCGTAGTTTCCTGCCAACACAGACAGCAACTTTATTTCATTGCTGTTTGTCAGAGAGCAAATCCTGCTGTTGGGTTTCACTAATTGGTGTGAAATTCAGGGGCCCGGGAAAGGAATGAACTAAGTGGCACCTGAAGCAGTTATTGATGCCTGTCTTCCACACCCTAACCAAAGAGTTTCTTTTCTACCAACTCTTCCTCTCCCCTTACTACTTCTGTTTCCTGTTTTTGTCCTTTTTTAAAGTTTTTTTTTTCTTTTCATTTTCTGCTGGTACATTAAAAAAACAAAAAAACCCTTCAAATAATTGGTAAGCATCGTTGAAGTTACCATAAAAGTACTTGTCCATTGCATTATATTTTAGCCACTAAACTAGGATGGAAGCCAGCCACTGGGCGAATATATCAAGTTGGCAGTTTCAACCTTTCAAAGAGAAGGTGCCTTTCCCACTTCTCTACACCTCACTGAAGATGATTTCTCAGAATCACTGATAACTATAATTCTTGGCGAGTCTTCATGATAACCTTAAACTCCTACAAGTTATATGATCCCTCCCTCCCCACTCGCTTAATAAAAGTAAATCCCATGGCATTAAGACACACTTCGAAGAGCCCTTCTTGACCAACTACATGGTTGCACTTAGATCTATAATCCCTGGGTTGGGTAGGGAAGGAGCTTGTGCGGCTGAAAAGGTTGAGTCATGCCTGAGTCTATTGTCCGTTGCGGCATCTGTTTCTGTGTGAGGAGTGCCCTCTGCTCAGATGTCTTTCTTTCCCAGAAGAGCATGCCAGTTACATGGTTAATGGAGTGTGTTTTTACTACTTTCAGACCTGGAAACACATGGTGAAGAAAACTTCTGTTGTCTATGGCCTTGTAAAAGTGCCATCACCTCTGAGGAGGGGAAACAGTGTTGCATCAATGCTGAAAAGCACAGGGACAGGTCAGTGAAAAAAAGGAAAAAAAAAAAAGGCAGGGCTTCAGAAAACTGCCTGGACCCTGAGAAGGTTTGGTATGATTAAGAGTTTATATCTCATTTCTCTAAAACATGACCACTCAGCTCGTATTGCACTTCAGTTTGTACCCACCATTTCCCACCTCGTGGAATACATAGGAGGGGGCAGGAACCTGACTAACCCTGACAGCTGAAGTAAAAAGTGCCATGATTGAAAGGTTGTTTGCATAAAGCCTAGACTCAGAACACCACATAGATGTTGCATAATTTTAGCTGGTGTTTCAAAGCTTAAGGAATGGAAAAAAAGGAAAGGTTAGGCTGCCAGCAGCCAAGCCTGAGAGAGAGCCCCCTGCTAGCTGACATCTCGCAGGGGGTCCTGATGGGAGATGTCCTGATGGGACAGGCCACAGGCAGTCGCCTAAAATAAATGTCTCCTCTTTCAGCATTTTGCCCAGAGCTAGCTTTCCCCAGAATTTGTTTTCAATACTGTAATATTTTTATTCTTCAGTAGCTAAATTCACAGGGCAGGTAACAAAAAGCTGTGTGAGCTTGTGTCCAGGATTATTTCTGCGGTGATTTTGGTGTTCTCCCTCTCTCTGCTGGACGAAAATGGTACTGCATGATTTCTGGAAAACAAAAACCAAAACACCCAATTACAGATCCGCAGGTGTGCAAGTACTGGGGGTGTGGTGAGTGTGTAAATATGGAGATAACACGGCCGCCAAAGGAGTGTACCTCAGTCACAGTACTGTCTAGCACTCATTTCCATTACTCCGTGGTCTCTGGAATCTCTTCTAAAAAGAGGGCCCCATCAACCACTTTGATCTTTGTAAAGTATGGGAAAAGGAGAAAGAAATATCCAGTGATTTTCAAGCAGACTCTGGAGCAGATTTAGAATCTTTATTTGACACAAAAATTATGCAATTTGGGTTGAGACTGTTTCAGTCTTGCTGTGGGCTCCTACCTAGGGTTTGGAAAACCCTGTATTTCTGCTGCTTTGCCGTCCCTTAAGTCAAACCCATTCAGTTGTAATTCTCTTACCTCATCAAAGCTTATCGCAGGATATAAGCTTCATAAGAACAGATTTTGTGTTTTTTCATTGTCATTTTCCTAGTTCCCATCACAGTGCCTGGCACCTCACAGGTACTCATTAAACAGCTGTAAAATGACTGACCAAGTAAATGAGTGAATGGGAACTCAGAGATCACCTGGTAAAGTATTTTTTAAACTGCCAAAGGATCCCTGTTAGTAGTTCTTAAAATCAACTTAATGGATTGTGACCAGAACCAGAAATTTTTAAAAAGGGGAATAGAATAGATATTATCAGGATGCATCCCATGTTGTATGGGTAAGAATAATTCAGTGAAAATGTTTTCAAGATATAGAAGTATACATACACATTCATGTTGTTAGTAATTATCGCAGTCACAGTCAAAAAGCAAAAGCTTGGAAAGTGATTGACACAGTCCATCCCGTTCATTTTGTTAATGAGAAATTCCAAGACTAAAAAAGATTAAGGAACCATTGTTTAATGACTTGTTCCCAGTTGAGTACTTCTTACACTCTACCTCAGTACAGGATAGGGAGTGAATCCATTAATTCAGGTAAATGGCAACTTTGAAACAAGAGGGAAATAACTTTGATACCCCCTTTCCCATTGCACATCTCAAACTATTCTTCCTTTTTCCCTTTCATGCAGCCTGGAATAGAAAATGAAATACAGGATAGGATCCTGAGAGACATATTGTTGTCTTTACTGTGTTATGAATATTTGTGTGAGCATGGACAACTTATCTACATGAGTCTCCTGTTTTTCGTCTCTAAAATGAGAAGCCTAGACCAGAGTTAATGATCACTAACCACTTTTGGGTCATGGGATCAATCTGAAAATCCTGTAAAAGCTGTGGACTCTGGCTCCTCAAAACACAAATACGTACAGATTTTTCTCACAATTCCATGGAGTTAATGAGTGAGCTCCAGTACATCTAGGAATGACTTTATTGAGCACTCCTCTCTCTGAAATTTACGGAAAAATAAGTCCTTTATATAGATCCCAAAGGCAGAAAGATGTAGTGCTTAAGAGTATGGACTATAGGAAGCTCTCAGGACAAATTACTCTGTTTTGCCAACAAATGAATTGTTAAAGGGGGAAAAAAAAAACTGATAGAAGGGGAACCTATAGATTAAAAAGGATTCAAGTAACAAGTCAACTAATTATAATGTGCAGGCCCCATTGGGACCCTGATTCAAATATACCGTAAAATAATTATGACATTTATAAGACCATTGGAATTTAAACACTGGATATTTGATGATGGTAAGGAATTGTTCTTCAGGTTTTTTTTAGGCATGGTGAAGGTTTTGTGGTTTTGCTTTAAAAGTCTTCATCTTTTAATGGTACATAAACAAGCCTGTTTTATGGAGAAAATTATATGATGTCTCGGATTTATTTCAAAATAATATGGAAAGGAGCAAGGGGATAGGGATATAGATTAAACTAGATTGCCTGCAAGTTGATAATTGCTAACATGATTACATGGGAATTCATTATACAATTCTGTCTACTTTTGTATATCTTTGAGGTTTTCCATAATAAAAAGGTAAAATTAAAAAAAAAAAAAGTATGGACTCTGGAGCCAGACTGTGGAGGTACAAATCCTGATTCTATCACTTACAGCTCTGTGACTCTGGAAGTTTCTAAACCTTCCTTATACATAAACAAGGATAATAATAATTATTCCCAATTCATAAGGTTGTTGTGAATATTAAATGAGTTAATATACCAGCACTTAAAATAGCACCTGGCACATAGTAAGCACTTAATGACTGTTTGCTATTACCATTGTTTGAATAGACAGTTTGGAGAGTGACCGGGGACTACAAAAACTGTGGATTATCAATTAAAGACAGATTGAGATAAAAAGCAGGGAGGGAAAGGGGAAGAGTGTGTCTGGCATTTTAAAGACTGTGCAGCATTTATTTTATTTTTATTTTTTATTTTTTATTTTTTTTCCCTTTTTGTCTTTTTTTGTGACCAGTAATGGGATCGCAACCCTTGTTGTTGCGCCCGCACCGCGCTCAACCAGTGAGTGGACCGGTCTCTATATAGGATCCGAACCCTCGGCGGGCGCGCCGCCCTCTACCGAGTGCGCCACAGGGCCGGCCCCTGTGCAGCATTTAGAAGGGCTGGACATGCATGACTTGTCTTTTTTTTTTGCGTGACTTGTCTTTCATTTTACCCCAACTCTATGCCCAACGCTACATAAACATCTCTCTCTCTCTCTCTCTCACACACACACACACACACACACACACACACACACACACACACACAC